GGTCTAAGTGGGTGAGGAAATGTATCTAAGGATATGAAGGCAAACCATTAATACGAAAACCCAGACAGTCTCCAGAATTGGAAAAAGCCACACAAGATGATGTCTCTGAAAAATTTTTTTTTGAGATAATAAAGATTTTTATTATCGGACCTTCGGGCGGAGGAAAATGAAATATTTTTATTTCGTTCAAAAACGCCAACAGGTCTGAGAAATCCCATTCTTAGGTCATATCCAATTAGCGATAAACTGCTTGACAAATACCACGTGTTAAAAAGCCGAAGGTGTCATCTCAGTCGCTCATGATAAGGGCGATTTAAATTAATATTTTTGTTTTTTAAGCAAGGTGTTTATTTCCCCAAAACAAAGTCACGGATTGTCCACGCCCGACTAAAGACGTCATTGGCTAAATAAGATCACATGACACATGAAGGAGGAGGAAAGATACCCGACCAGGACCTCATTGGCCGAGAGCGGTCACGTGACGCACGAGGAGAATCGGTCGACGCCCCTGTCAGAAGTGTAATTGTAAGGAGCCGATACGAAGAAGCGGGGAAGCGGGTATACGCCCCTCAGAGGCACAGTAAGGAAGTGGAGTGAGAGTGAGTTACCGAAAATGGAAAATCCCTAACCAGAAATAAGAAGGGTGGATACGTATTTAGAATTATCGAAGAAACCCCTGGCGCCGACAGACCCACCCCAGTTTTGACTGCGTCAATAAAAGCGAAACCCCAACCGACAGAAATCAGTTTGAGTTTGAGCCGCGGACGGCGGGCCAGGTTCATTCGCCCACTTTGCGGGCAAGAGAGGCCAGTTCGTTTGGCCTAAGTGAAGAAGTTCGTTCGACCCAAGCCGAAGAGAAGAAGTTAATTCGCGCACCGACGGCGGAGATGAGTGACCAGTAATTCAGACTCTGAAGAGAAGAAGTTTGAGTTGAGCCGCGGACGGCGAAAGAGTTCAGCCGTGGACGATAAGCAGAGATGAGCGCCCAGTGTTGAAACCGCGTCAAGATAGCTGACCAAGATTCACGCACACTTCTGGACTCTTCTTCAACCAAGAACAAGTAGTTTGAAGAGCGACTTAGAATCAGACCACAGAAATAAGTTTTTTTTCGACTTTCGTCCAAAGACACACCGAAACACAAATTTCTTAGAGAGCAGACAACTGGAAGCCTTAAAGTTGCCTAGTAAAAGCGTCGTGCCACAATCCACAGAACGGGTCGGGAAGTAGACATAGTCCTATGTACCGAGCAATTAGACATAAAAAGTTTGTTACCTTTTTCTTTGATACGTTGGACCTTGTGAGTTTTTCTTTTTTTTTCTTTTATACATAATTGTGTGTTATCACCCCCGTTAGACCCAACTTGCATTACGGCCCCAACCCCTGTTTGATCTCGTCTGTCTAAGATCAATTCACAACGTGGGTAGGCAGACTGGGGATCAGTGCAGTTACCCTGGTAACCATTCGTTGGAAGCGGGTTGAGAACGGCGAGGTTGGTATCAATCTAACCAAAGGGTTAGAACGTCACGTTTGGGGCAGCGAGGAGCGAACAGCTGACGCCGCGGCAAAGACGTGACAATTGGCGCCGCGACCGGGATCGAACGACACAGTCGACGCCGCGACCGGGGGACGACGTCACATATATATATATATATATATATATATATATATAATTATTTATTTAAAAATATGATTCCAACGCTACATAAGAGTTCTTATGTTTCAAAACAAGAGCCGAAAACTTCAATATTATTATTTGAATTAAAGTAAATTCAAATAATTATATTGAAGTTTTCGGCTCTTGTTTTGAACATGAGAAGTCTTATGTAGCGTTGGAATCATATTTTTAAATAAATAACCATATTTATGCTCTACTTTTGTATCGAGCATTATTTTTTTTTAAATAATAACGAAAATATTAAAGAACTTTGGATTATTTACGTAACGAGTTCTTTCCTATTTTCTATATATTTTCACATTCACACACACACACACACATATATATATATATATATATATATATATATATATATACATACACACACCATTATTTTTAATGAATAAATAATTTTGTATCAGGGTGATAAATACTGAATGATCGTATTCTGTTGCTCTAAATACCAACTACGATATTTATTCCCCTAATTTGATTGAGATTACGATGAGTACCGCAACCTATTATCTTTTTTTTATTTCCAAATAGTTTTAAAAAGATTAAAGACTGGCAGTAAAAGAAATCAATTTTGTGTTTTGGTTGGTCAGGGAAGCAAGTGGTGTCAGTAAGTATGTATTTTAATGTTACTACTTAAATTATCCCCACAAGAACGTTCAAAAAGGGAAAAAAAGAATAGCTCTAATATCTTTGAATTACATGATTGTTAAAAATAAATAAATAAAAAAAAATAAACGGATAGTGGTATCGATTTTTAAATGTACCTTGTCCTGCCGTTGGCTGCTTTGTCGGCTGTCGGCAACTCTCCAAGTGTGTCAAAACACCCGCGGAAGATGAAAGAAAAAAAATGGCTGCCAATGATGGCTTTGTATTGGAAATGGGAAATAAAAGATGCAAAAAAAAAAAGCCAAAAAAACTCATGGTCCTCATTATCACCATCAGAAATCTTGCTTATTTTATTAATATGCATTTTGTCTTTTGTCTGGTATCATTTTAGGCTATTTATTATTTTCTGTTTATTTATCTGGCTGGTTTCCGGGTTGTATTTTCTCTCACAGCTGTTGCTATTACCACATCCGTCAGCAACTGAAAATCTACTAGGAAATATAAATTCTGCCCAGAGACTACAATTTGAATATTACAAACGGGATTGTTTTCGAATAAAGTATAAAAGATATTAAATATGCAAATATTTCGTATGGTTAGCCTGATAATCTGATCTGATAATCAATAGTTGAATAGAAATGGAGGCTCCGGGGAGCTGTTTTAGAGAAGCCATTTTAGAGAAAGTTACCATCATTTTAGGCAGGTAAACATATTGTTGATTGATGTGTTTGTTTAACGGCATATCAACTCGTTTATGGGTCAGCTAATGTCGAAATTTAATTTTCTTGGGAGGTTTGAAGTAATAAATATATATTATATTCTGCGTTCACCCCGAGCAGCTGTCCATTACTCCACCGTACCTCCATATTCCGTCCTGGGTAAGACGATAAACTACATCCAACAGCAAGGCCTCTGATCATGAGGTTTTGAGGAGCGTGGAACCACCTCTTAATTGCTAGTATTACCAAGTCCACCCTGACCCGGTGTGGTAGCACCTGTTATGGTTCCAGCTATGGGCAAATAGTTAACCCCGAAACTGAGGTAAAAAAGCATTATAAAAGTGTAAAAATATGTTTTAATACCAGAAAAACTTTGTAAAATATTATTATCAGTAATAAATTTTTGAAAAAAAAAACAAACAAAAAAAACCTATAACCAGCAAGAAGTTTTTGAAAAAAATATTACCAGCAATAAATTTGTAAAATAATATTATCAGAAATAGATTTTTGAAGAAGAAAATATGACCAGAAATAGATTTTTGAAGAAGAAAATATTACCAGCAATACATTTTTGAAGAAGAAAATATTAGCAGAAATAGATTTTTGAAGAAGAAAATATTACCAGAAATAGATTTTTGAAGAAGAAAATATTACCAGCAATACATTTTTGAAGAAGAAAATATTACCAGAAATAGATTTTTGAAGAAGAAAATATTACCAGAAATACATTTTTGAAGAAGAAAATATTACCAGAAATAGATTTTGGAAGAAGAAAATATTACCAGCAATACATTTTTGAAGAAGAATATATATGCAGAAATAGATTTTTGAAGAAGAAAATATTACCAGAAATAGATTTTTGAAGAAGAAAATATTACCAGAAATAGATTTTTGAAGAAGAAAATATTACCAGCAATACATTTTTGAAGAAGAAAATATTACCAGAAATACATTTTTGAAGAAGAAAATATTACCAGAAATAGATTTTTGAAGAAGAAAATATTACCAGCAATACATTTTTGAAGAAGAAAATATTACCAGAAATAGATTTTTGAAGAAGAAAATATTGCCAGAAATACATTTTTGACAAGACAAAATATAACCAGGAAAAAGTTGTCGGCATTAAATAACCCATTGAGGTTGATATGCAGTAAAACAAACCAAATCAAAACTTACACCAAGCCTAAATTTAGCCTGTGCTATTGGACAGGAATGCATGACTTCTACTAATATCCTACTGTACAACTGGACTCATTAAATAAACTATTATTGCATCATACTTGATGCAGTCATACCAATCATGCCAAATGATCTTCATAAACATAAAATCTATTTTACAGTTAGAGGTTGAACAAAGGTGATTGTTATCTGAAAAAACAACTTGGAACAATTAAAAAAGAGCAAGCAATATTCAATGTAGAATTAAATGTTCAAAGCTACTTGAACATTCAATTACATATATATATATATATATATATATATATATATATATATATATAATTATTTATTTAAAAATATGATTACAACGCTACATAAGATTTCTTATGTTTCAAAACAAAACCGAAAACTTCAATATAATTATTTGAATTAAATTGAATTAAACTAAATTCAAATAATTATATTAAAGTTTTCAGCTCTTGTTTTGAAACCTGAGAACTCTTATGTAGCGTTGGAATCATATTTTTAAATAAATAATTATATTTATGCTCTACTTTTGTATCGAGCACTATTTTTTTCAAAATATTAACAAAAATATTAAAGAACATTGGATTATTTACCTAACGAGTTCTTTCCTATTTTCTATATATTTTTACACACACACATTCGCACCTTGACTATCATTGACCTCCAGGAATTCCTCACTGATCACTAGGGGTGGACACTTGTACCCCGTTTAACGACCCCTGCCTTAGATTATTGTTAACTGCCTATTTCTTTTTATTCTTTGAATTTTGTGAACAGTTTTTAAAAACTTTTGGTGCTGGGGGGCGTGTTCAGGAGGAAATCGGCCATAGCACGTTGAAACATCGATTCCCGTCCGATAATCGACGTCAAACAACATTGAACCTGGTCAGTACCTAGATTGGGGACCGCTCAGGAATAGCAGGTGCTGTAACCTTGGATGTGCGCGTGGTGTAACGAATAAAGTCCCGGAATGAAAAATTGGAGAACCTAGTTCGAATTCCTGTTGGGTTAGTTATATTCACTTACGTGCAAATACCCTTGGGAAAGGTATGAATACACGTTTTTTTTCTCCCTGTTATGGATTAAATAGTAAGATATGTATCAACAAAACATTATTATATCTAAAAAATTCTAATAATCAAAAAATATGTTTCGGCTTTTAATGACATGCAACAGGTACATAAGCCGTCTAAATAAGTCGAAAATGAAAAAATTAGGGGTACCATAATGATTTATATTAAAAGAAGAAGAAACAGATACATACTTTTATTAATTTATGTGAATTCGTGTTCTTTAATTGATATTCGTGCTTAAAAGCCATACTCTCTGCAGATCTCGAACATTTACGCCAGTGAAAACTGGTCACTCGTATTCGAGGATACCCCTCTTCTAGGGGGGGGGCGTAGCCAATCCCTATTTTACGTGGTTTAAACACAAAATGCACAGGCGCATTTGTGATTAAACCATGACAATACCCACAGAGCCCACGTGTGGTTTATATTGCAACTATGCTGAGCAGACCTTAGTTACAGTTTCTGAGAGAAAACGTGTTACCTAGCGTGATCAATAATTTGAACAAACCCGACTGGAATTCGAATTTTGCCCTCCAATTTCTTATTCCGAGGCTTTATTCGTTACCCGAGCGCACATCCAAGGTTACAGAACCTGGTATTCCTTAGCGGTCCCCAATCTAGGTACTGACCAGGTTCCAGGTATCGATGTTTCTACGTGATATGGCTGTAATTCCCCCCCCGAACTCCGCCACCAACCAAAGTTTTTATTTTAAAAACTCTTTACAAAATTCCAAAAAGACTTTGTGCAAGTACAGTTATCGATTGGCCCCAAGTGTTCCGTCCACCCATTTTCACTCACAAGGCTTTCCAGAGGTGCCGCACGCTGGGATCGACCCCGTCATCCATTAACATCAGGAAGGATCTTTCCTGTCAAATCGACCATGGTCTCATAGTCAAAATGCGAACGTTCCAACCACTCGGCCACGTGTCTATATAAAAATAAGCCCTCATCAAAAAATCAATATATAACTGATTGTGACATTTTGCCGCACGAAGTCTTCCAGTTATAAGAAAATTTGGAGGATACTTCAACGTGGCGTAATGGTTAGCAAGCTCTTATGATAGATCAGTTACAACGGAATAGAGAGTTCGATCCTCACTGGGTGTCCCATACTTTTGGCCATATGCCACAACTCACATAAGCTTAAGAAATCGCCTGGGTACTTTAACGTGTAATGGTTAGGAAGTTTGACTCACTGGAACAATTACGACTGAGTTGTTTTCTAATTGACTACTCTATACTTTCGGCCTTGTACCACCTCTGAACTTTGCTATAATCAACATAATAAAAATGATCTACCGTAACTCATTTACTTAAATTTGGATATATAGCAATTCGTCCAGTGCTTCATTCCAATTAAATATCCGTGGCTGTTTTAAAAAGCAACTCTTTTAAATCTCGATATAAAATTCTAAATACTTCAACATGTTGCCAACAAAATTTAAGTAAATAAAAATGGAAAAAAATTCACCTTTTTCTTGTGATTTAATTTTGACACTTTGTTTTAGTTAATTTAGAGTTGCTAATTAAATAAATAGTGTCGTTACTTAACACGTCCTGCATTTTTTTCTGAGGCACAATGATAAAATTTTAATCATATTCATTTTCTGATACGAGATTTCTAAATGTTAGAATATTTTTATAGCATCAATTTGAACTAAACAATCTAAATATATTTCCAAATAAACATAACATATGATAATTTTTATGAACTGGCAATATAATATAAAATATTGACTAAAATGTTTAAATGTTCTCTAATATTGTTTACAGAGTTGTGGACTTAAAAAATGTTATTCTTATTTATCAAATTGATGTCCTAAATTAACAGAGTAATTAAGCTGAATGGACTCACCTCAAAGAAAACTCTTAACTTGTCCAGATTCTTTTTTCGATATTTGCGGAGTAAGATGGAGTCGATTCAATAAGCTATCTTGATCAGGCAAATTACGCTGAGCATCATAAAATATATGTACACCATATAGACAAAACATAATAAGAGAAAACTGACGGCAATTCTATGCTTGCGACACCAAGTTAGGGGAAAACAATCATAGTCACCAAACATTGTATGGAGGACACAACACAAATTAAATCACGCCACACTGGAGTCGAGTAATTGAGCAAAAGCACAACTTTAGTTCAAAAATTCCCTAAAAACTCGTTTTTTCAATGACCAGTACTCTCTTACAATAGGTACGTAAAATTATTATGATATTAGAATTACTGTTGCTGGCAACACTATCATTAAGATAACAAATATGTAATAGACTTTCAGTGTTCCATTCAAGACGAATATATATATATATATATATATATATATATATATATGAACGTATATATATATATATATATATATATATATATATATATATATAGAGAGAGAGAGAGAGAGAGAGACAGACAGACAGACAGACAGACAGACAGAGAGAGCAAAGAGAGATAACGATATATAAATTATATATCAAAAAGAATATTATTCGGGGAATGTATGGAAATAATGAAGTCCTAAAAAGAAGAAATGCATTACACATAATTTTTTCCCACTTTGTCATATATTTTCCCCAATATATATATATATATATATATATATATATATATATATAGTGTTCCAAAATAATGTATACACTATTCGAATCATTACAACTTATTCAATGTAAATAATATTAATACAAGAGAAAGAATACACATTTAAACATTTAAAGAATTTGAGAGTAAAATATACAAAAAAAAAAAACAAAAGAAAAAACATAGAAAATTAACTTTAATAAGATTAAATCAACTTGGGACAATGGCAGAATGTTCATATAATGATGAATTCACATTAAGTGCTCAAACTGGTTGCCGTTCTGTTCAATACACTTTTCATATCTTAAAGAAATAGACCTACAAACATCCAGTATCATTTCCTCTGGTATTTGAGCACATTCTTCTTCAATTGCTACTCTCATTTCAGCAATTGTTTCAGGTTTTCTGCTGCAAACTTTGTCTTTTAGAAACCCCCACGAAAAGAAATGTAAGGATGTCAAATCTGGTGATGTAGGTGGGTATACAACTGTTGCTCTTTCTCCAATCTATCTATTTTGCTTATTTTCATCCATATAAAAATGTATTATTAACTATTCATATTAAAAAGTGTATACATTATTTTGGGACACCCTATATATATATATATATATATATATATATATATATATATATATATATATATATATAATATAACAGACCAAAAATTATATATTAATAAATATACATTTCTCCCCACCGGTAGCACGAGTCGGCGTTTTCATTCTCAACGAATAGAATAGAAATTTAAAAGAGGGTTCAATAAAAAGTAGAGCAATATTATTTATTTTAGGATATTACAGCGAAAACATGTAAAAATCACTACACAATTGCAGACGTGTTTCAATACGTATCAATGTATCTCATTAACATCGCCTGATGAGATGCATTGATGCGCATCGAAAACACGACTGCAATTGTGTAGCAATTTGTACATGTTTTCGGTTTAATATCCTAATATATATATATATATATATATATATATATATATATATATATATATATTTAAAAATATGATTCCAATTCGTGACATAAGAGGTCACATGTTTCAAAACAAGAGCCGAAAACTTCAATATAATTATTTGAATTAAATTGAGTTAAAGTAAGCTCTGTTCCATCTTCAAGCGAAGATCCTACACTTTTGTAACAATGTTTCCCCCTAGTGTAGGATCGTTAATTAATCTGAAACTTTTAAAACCATTTATTTTCTTTTCAACATCATCACTTGATAAGACACTGAGTGTGTTGAAACAAAATGGCTATTTTTGTAGTGATTTTATAACATACTTATGTTATAATTTTTTTTTTTATAAAAAATAATTATATTTGCTCTACTTTGTATTGAGCACTCTTTTAAGAATAGTAATTGTTGGTTATTGGAATTCATTCCGTGTATACCAATTATATACTTTGATATATATATATATATATATTGGAAGCTTGGTCTCATCATTTTACAGTTGATATTCGTAGATGTCACCATAACTTCTATGCTAACAAATTTCTTCTCTCGCAAGTGGAACTCTCTTCCAGATTCTGATCTTCCAAACATTAAATGTCATCTGTTTCCTTGAACTCATTCTTTTATTGTCCTCTCTCCATAATAATCAATTTTCTCGCATTCTTTCACTCGCAGTAAACATTTGCAACTCAGTGGGGTTTTTTTTTTGCCTTGCTTGGGGTGAAATGATTAAAAGCAAAATGTAGAATTTGGTTTAATCAGAAATTCAGAGATTAAAATTATTAGACCAGATTTCAGACAAGCTATTCAGACCAGCATTCTCATCTGTGTTTTCGCACGCACAACGGGGTGTAGCACCTGTTAGGCTCCCAGCTATGGGAAATAGTAACCCCCCGAACTGGGGTCAAAACATTATGAAAGTGTAGAAATACATTTTTTATCCTGAAGGTGTCAGCAATACATTTTGATAGTAAAAGAAATTACCAACAATACCTTTTTGTAAAAGAAATTACTAATGCAAGAAAATTAAATTTCAGCATTAAATGACCCATAAGGTATTGATATGCCGCGCAACAAATCAGACCAAAACACACTCGCAATTTGTCTTGTTGTGTCTCGTTGTATTCACTGTTTTTTATCTCATTATTCATCATTATAGACTTACTTTGCTATTTCGGTCAGAATTTTCAACCTGGTTATTATATCCACAATGATTCGATCATCGTAATCTTCGGCCTTCTTCGGGCGAATACCGCTGGACTCGGCAACCTGTTGGCAATTTCGAATTGAACACTTTATTCAATCGACGGGGTAGGTTGTTCTTATTTTGC